TGGTGGGCCCTAAGGTGTTATAAGAAAGTGGGGGCCCTTCTTTCTGTTAACAATGTTCAAACCTGGATCATTAGGGGGGTAATGGGGTTATCATCTAGCCGAATGAGAAATAGATCTGAGGGGATAGCGGGTATCCAGGGCAGCCCCCTCAAGGGGACTCCTTCCAGCATCATTCTGGTGTTGACCTTGTGGAGGTCCTGTAGCATCCTCCATTGGCCAGATGACTTTTTTTCTGTCAGAGAACAAGTTCATGGGGTCATCTACTCTGGACAAGGCTAGGGCAATGGCCATGAGTTCTTTAAATTGAGTGGAGCCCTCTTTTGTGACAAAAACAGGGTTGTTCCAAGGGCTCATGAAGGGGCAGATATGCCCCAGCATAAGTTGTTCCTGTATAATATGCCTCAAAGCCTGGAGCTTTGTCTCGGTCAAGGGCCACTGTTCCACCCAAACCAGACTCCCTGGGGACCATCGGATTGCAGGAACTTGAGGAACAGGGGCCTCTAGGATTGGGGGTGGACCCGGGGAGACTCGGACTCCTCCCCCCTGTCCCCCCCCAGTGGAGGGTGCAAGAGGAGGTTACCCATTTATGAGGGCCATAACGACAGTCCAACTTTCCCAGAAAGCTCTCCAAGGCTATGGCCATTTGGCTGTTGTTTCTGTAGAGCCATTCAAAGTCCTTTAGCCGATAAGGGATAATAATCTTGCGGGGGTCAATGCCATAATGTCTCAGGGTTATATCCCATCCTTTCTCAATTAGGTCAGCCAACTGGTCCGTGGGTGTATACACCCGTGGAGTGCCCCCTAGGGAGGTAGGCACCATTGGAGGGGCTTCCCCCCTTGTGTGAGAACGGATGTCATCAGGGCCTCACCAGAGAGCACCCATAGTTCAAGGTCCTTTACAGGCATATAGTGGGCCAGTTGGGCTTGGTCCAGGGCCTCCTGGACCCATGTAAAATGTCTAGGTATTGCGGGTTCAGATGGATTAGCTCTGATGGCTGTTTCCCTAACAACAATTGGAACAGGGGCTCCAGTGTCTCAGTGGAGACGGGCATCCAGGATTCTATTGTCTGTGGTCACAAAAACATCCGCCCCCCCCCGAGGAGGTCTCTCCCGAAGAGTTGTAGGAAAGCCCCTCAGCCACCAAAGGTCTGATCTCCCCCTTAGTACCATCTGGGTCCTGCCAGCAAAGCCAGTTCTTAAGCTCCCATGACAGCATGGTGCTGCCGACAACCATCACCTGTGGGCCAGGCTCGAGGGGCCACCTTCTGGGGACTTCTTCCTTCCTCAGGATGGTCCTATTTGCCCCGGTGTCAATAATGCCCCGGAACCTCTGCCCATCTATCAAGATGTCTATCTTACAGCGGAGCCCCAGGATGATAGGGACCATCCAGTGGGCAATGGGCCCTCCAGGGCCTGTGCACCCTCCTCCTTTTGGAGATGGGGCTGGGGATTTTCCCAAACCTAGTTTAAAGGTTTGCCCTCCACATCATACCTGGACTGGCAGTCCTTTCTCCAATGAAACCCCTTGCAGCAGCGTGGGCATGGGGCCCTGGGCTTTTCCCCCCTCCACCTTGAGATGCCCGGGCTGGCTGCACCCAAAACATCTCTGGTCCTCAGCCCTGGGGCGCCTATCCTGCAGCCCAAGGCCTGTGGGGGCTCTCTAAAGGCTATAGCTAGAGCCTCTGTCTGTGTCTTGAGGACTGCGGCCATAGCCTTGGTCGCCTTTGTTTTGGTCCCTATGTCCTTTGAGGCCATGATCCAGCTGCTCATGGAATGGTACTTTAACCCCACCCAGTGACCTTATGATCAGCATTCATACCATCCCATACTAGCATTTTTATGAACTGTTCTCTGAACAGCCCAGGGGGAAACTTTCTCCTTAGACTCTTTTCAACCCTATCTACAAACTCATATAATGGCTCCCCTGAGCTTTGATGGATCCCCAATATGGGTGGCTCCGTAGGGCCCATAGCTAACTTATGCCAGGCCTTGAGGCCAAGCGCCCTGACCTGTTCCGTATATGGTGATGGAAGTGCTGCCTGCTGGGTGGCCATGGCAAAGGCGTCTGTGGTCCCTGTCAGCATGCTGAAAGTGATAGGGACAGGGGGGTTGGTGGCATGGTTATTTTCCGCCGGGCCCCGACATTCCTCTTGGTATAGTGCCATCCATTTAATGAACAAGGGGCTGGGGAGGACTGCCTTGGCTAGATCCATCCAGTCTTTGGCCATACAGGGTTGATATACCAAGCCCTGGAGAAGGGTGTCGACCCAGGGGGAACCAGGGCTATCCTCGGCCACCACCTTAATTCTTTAAGATCTTTAGCCTCCCAAGGGTACCAGGTGGCCGGGTGCTGGGGTCTGGGGTTGTTTATGGGGAAAGCCTGGACCAGTCCCATGGGAGTGGAGAGCTCTGATGGACTAGATGGGGGGGCTACCCCCAAGGGTCCTTTCCCTCATCCTCATCCTGACCGCCTGGGGTTCCCCCTTTATCTTCCCCATTCTCATCACCCCCCATTTCCAGATCTCTCCACAGTATGTGCTTCACTTTCAATCGTTGGACTCTCTCCCCATCAAACACAACCCATTGATCTTCCCCTGCAACCTTATCCACCCAGCAAAGGCCGGTATGCCCGGGGGTCAGATCAGGTTGGAAACATGACTTAAGGGGCTGAGATCATGGGGTAAAACCCCAAGGGTGGTTCCTCCCCTCTATTGATCTCTGCCTCATGAGCCAGTTTTCAAGCTGGTCCCAGGTAGCCCACTGGTGGGCAGCCAGGGAGCAAGACACAGGGTGGCCTCCCAGACCCTCTTTGACGAGGAATCAGACTGTTCTAACCCCCTGGATCTCAGCATATGTCTCAGTGCCTGGAGCCCCGGGTCCTCACTTTTACTAGTTGCGTTACCCATCTCTTGGGGTCTCACTTCCTTCAGTACTCACCCAATTAGCCCCGGCGATCAGCTCCCGTAGCAGGTCCGAGTGGTCTTTGAGCACCACGTTGGGCGCCAGATGTCGGGGATCCTGCCCCGACACAGGAGCCAGGGAAAGGGAGATGAGCTGTCCGCCCATTACCCGCAGCCTCCCCAGGAGACAATCAGACACGACAGGGAGCCAGTCAAGCAGGAACTCGTTTATTGCAGGCGTCACAGGGCTTATGAAGGCAAAAACCACAAAGGAAAATCCCCTCCCCAACCAATAGTCCAATCATGTTAAAGACCAAGTTGAGCATGCAGTCTCCTCTCCATAGCACAGCATAGCGTTCACTTCCGCGCTGCCAAGATGCATGGAAATGACAGGAGCCAATTAGGATTCTTCAAAACAAGTCTGATCATGCCCCAGCCATTTCCTCTAGGTGCCATCCTGCCTCGCCCCTGGCCTCAGGCCACCGCACAAGAGAAATGGAATAGAGACTCAGTGGGCAGAATCTGTTTTACCAGAGTCCTGGCCAGGCAGGTCTGTCTAGCTGATTAGGAGTCAGGGAAGACTGCGGTGGGGGGGGACCACCTGAGTTGGGACTTAGTGATCTATGATAGGGTGTTTATCTACATCTGGGTTAGGAAGCCAATCCAAAGACCTGAGGTGAAGGAAATGGAACCACCTGGGTCCAAGGCTGGCAGGGGACAGGGTTTGGGTGGGTGGGAGTTTTTATTTATTTTAAATTTCATGTGTATCAGTGTTTTGCCTGTATGTATTTAAGTGCATCCATGTTGTGCAATGTCCATGGAGGCCAGAGGAGGGCATCAGAGTCTCTGGAACTGGAGTTACAGTCTAACATGGAGTTAGTCTCCATGAGGGTACTGGGAACCAAACCCAGGTCCTCTACAAGAGCAGCCAGTGCTCTTAACCACTGAGTCATCACCGGGCACAGTCCAGTCCATGTGTCTTAATTCCAGCCCTCAGGAGGCAGAGGCAGAGGCAGAGGCAGAGGCAAGCAGTTGATTATCTGTGAGATTGAGGACAGCCTGGCCTCCACATAGTGAGTTCCAGGCAGGCTGGGACTAGAGACCCCCTGTCAAAAACAAACAAATGAACAAACAAACTCAAAACCAAATCCTTGAGCCATTACTGTAGCCCCTTAATTTCTTCTTTGAGTAATTGGTTCAAAATGTATAAGGGGCTAGGTCAATGTAGTGGTTAAAAGTGCTGGCTGCTCTTTCAAAGATGAATTTGATTTCTAGCACCCACATCAGGTATTTCACAACTGCCGGTAACTCAAGCTCCAGGGGATCTGACTCTCTTCTGGCCTTGTGCACCCACATGAATGTGTGCATGCACACACTTAAAGAAAAGTACAATCCTTTTAAAAAGACATGTTTAAGTAGCACATACAGTAGTGCCCCCTTTGCTCTAGTTTTTGTTTCTTCAGCTTTATTTATGGACAGCCTACCAGAATCAGAGAATATTAAATAGGAAATTTCCAAAGAAACCAATTTGTGAGTTTCAGCCATTCTGAGTAGAGTCTCTGCTTAGGACATAACTCATCCCACTGTGCAGTGTTTCCAGATGCTACAAGCTATCCTCTTGTTAATCAGTTATCAAACTGATGGTTGCGTATCTTGGTGCTTGTGTTCAAGCAACCCTTATTTTACTTAAAAATGGACCTAAAGTACCAGAGTGACGATGCAGAGGTGGCACCAGGACATGACACAAGGAGGTATGGATTAACTAACACCCACAGGAAAACACAGTATATATAGGCTTTGTTACTCTGGTTGAAGGCTGGTCATTTTTGTCAGCTTGACACAAACTAGAAATACCTGGGAAGAGGTAATGTCAGTTGAGGAACTTTCTCCAGCATGGCATCTCTGTAGGGTATTTTCTAAATTGCAAATTGATGTGGAAGGGCCCAGTCCACTGTGGGCCTGGACTATGTAAGAAAGGTAGCAGACCAAGCCAGGGGAAGCAAACCAGTAAGCAGCGTTCCTCCAAGGTCTGTACTTCAGCATCTGCCTCCAGGTTCCTGCTTTGACTTTCCTGGATGGGTTTATTTTAAAATAAACCCTTTTCTCCTCAAGTTGCAGCAAATATACTAAAAGCAAAACAATACAGAGAAGATTTGCATGGCTCCTGGGCAAGGATGACACAAAAATTTGTAGAGTGTTTCATGTACATTTTAAAATTATATATATTTTTTATGTGTATGAGTGTTTTACACATGTGTATGTGTATCTGGTATGTGCAGTGCCTATGGAGGCCAGAGAGGGTGACAGAGCTACCCTGTGGGTACTGGGAACTGAATTTGGTTCAAAAAATTTTAATATGGGGCTGGAGAGTTAAAAACACTGGCTGTTCTCACAGAGGATCCAGATTCAGTTCCCAGCATCCACATGGTGGCTAACAACCATCTGTAACTACAGTTCCAGGAGATTTGATGTCTTCTTCTGGCCTCCATGGGCACTGAAGACATGTGAACTTCCATACATGCAAGCAAAACACTCATATACATTAAAGTACACAGATAAATAATTAAATAAACTCTACCCCTCCAGGAACTTGTTTGGCTTTAATTGCTTTATAAATAAGTGATTTTTTTTGAGACAGGGTCTCCCTATAGCCCTGGCCTGGAACTCACTATGTAGCCCAGGCTGGCCTTAATCTCATAGAGCTCTGCCTGCCTCTACCTCCCGAGTGCTGGGGTTAAAGGCATGCACCGTCATGTCTGGCTTGTGATTTTTATTCAATAACTTGAATTCTATCAAAGATTTTTAAAAAAAGAAACACATTGAGGTGGGCAAGGTAGTGCATGCCATTAATCCCAGCACCCAGGAGGCAGAGGCAGGCAGGTCTTTGTAAACTGAAGCCTTCATAGGGAGCTCCCGGTAATCAGATCCTGTCTTAAAAACAAAACAAAAGCCTACAATAAAATATTATCTTCTTTCCATTACAATTGTTATTAGGGGGACAAAGCTCCACCTCTGTCCTCTGGCCCTAGGGATGAGTTCGGCACCCATGGGACAAGGCTCTACCCCAGATTTTGAATCCGCATCAGTTGTCTCTAGGGCTGAACTTCATGCAAGTGCAGGTCTGAGAATCTCTTCATTAACTATTGAAAAACCGTAACAAGCCAGTGCTGACTTGAACTGTTGGTTCTTCATTGTTGGTTTGTTAACTGGTTTGTTTGCATGTTTTAATTATGTGTGTGTGTGTGTGTGTGTGTGTGTGTGTACATGTGTACAGGTGCCCATGGAGGCCAGAGGCCTCAGATCACCTGGAACTGGAGTTACAGATGGTTGTGAGCTACCTGACATGGGTGCTGGGAATTAAACTAAGGTCCTCTGTAGGAGCAGCACTTGCTTTTAACCACTGAGCCATCTCTCCATCCCTCCCTCTAATTTTTTGAGATACTGTATACCCACTGATTTGGTTATGCTGGCTGGTCAGCAAGCTCCAAGGAGCCACATGTCTCCATCTTCCTAGTGCTGGGATCACAGATGTGTACTGCCAGGCCCAGCATCTTAT